CCCTAAAGGGTTAATTTTCTGAACGGTGGGGGTTGGGGTTGATTGTCTCTTTTGTATCCCTGATGGAGACTGGAGACCTGTCCAGGTGTCCTCTGCCTTCACCCAAAGGCAGCGAGGACAGGTTCCAGCCCCACCCTGACCCTGATTAGGAGCAAGGAGGACAGGAGGAGGATTTTTCTTTATAGCAGGAAACAGACATTTAATTATAAAACATGATTTATTTTATGTTAAGTGTTGTTTGTAAATATATTTGACAGTTTTGTAGGAATGAACACGTTTGTAATGTTTGTTCAAAATAAACCTGCTTCTTATGACTTCTAACATGTTTTGAATAAAATATTATCAGTAAAAACCTCAAATCATGTCCTAAGAATCAGAACTCTCTTGTAGATATAAAGGATAACATTTAGAAAATGCAATTATGCAACTATCAAAAAAACTTCCTCTCAGTCACTGAAAATAATTTACCACATTTTAAAAACCGATTATTATCTGGGCCCTTAAGGGTTAATGCTCCAGAATGGGACAGTCTGTCTGACCTGCGGTGTATGTGAGACAGAGGAGAGGAGAGGAGCAGCTCAGCTCCATGTTTGAGTCCAGCAGGACCAGCTGATTCTGTCTGGATTTGAGTTTACAAACTACTCTGGTTACTTTTTTCAAAGTTGAGGGACATTACAGCTGCACTGCTGATCAGCGCTATTTATAGAACATGAACAGACTCACGGGAACCTGGTCGCACGCGGGGTCTGTGTTGGTGATTCTAAATTATTGATAAGGTAACAATGCTGTGGCTTCAACTGCCGTATTTTATTTTAAAGAAAGAAAAAGTAGCTTGCAAAGCTGTCGCATCGGTGCTACGTGATTAAAAGCAGAGCTGTGCATCTAATCTCACACACGTCTTCCTATCTTTGTGAGGACCACACACAGCGCTCAGCCTCGCTCTGCGCCGTCTTTTTTCCCCAAGTTTGGTGAGAGGTGGATACGGAGGGACGCAAAAAATTGCTCTGGACTTGATCTGGCCTTATTTAAATAAAAATGACTACATGCCGTGAAATTCTTAGAGGGGCAGGCCATCTCATTGGCGGGGGGGCCTGCCCCCCTTGTATAATGGTAGGGGAAACACTGGATTTGATTTATACAAGGTTTAAGAAAACAAACAGATCTCCTCATACAACAGGAATAATTTAAGCAGAAAATCACGTATAATCTGAGTTTTAACAGCACAGTCCTATAATATATCATCAACAAAAAGATATGCAAAAAATATAAACTGATGGATGGTAAATATAATTTGAAAATGCTTTAAGTTCAGTTTTTAACTTAAGGCATTTTAAGTTAAAAACTCAGTTTTTTTAATGTCAGATGAGAAGATAATCTGTCCAGCATCCATTATCACACCCACTCAAACTATGTCTGTCACTTGTAATATGTACAACAGAGTGTAGCACTACACATGCTTTTAAAGAGAAAAACAGTCTTAAAATAGTCTCCCGTGTTTAAGAATTATCACATCCTTATGACAGTAGGCTCCTCTACTCAGAAAACTGTATAATTTGTAATCACTGCTCTGTGTTACAGTTGTAAATGTAGACATAATAGGTTACACACAACATCACATAAAGCAAAATTTTATTAGTGAAAAACTCAACACCTAATTTGTTTTTAAATGATACGTTTGGGTAATAGATATGTAACAGAATAAAACAATGCAACTGTTCTGCAGTTTAAAAAAAAACATACAGAAGTGGATCCACAATCTTATTCAGGTTTGTTTTGTTTTTTGTGCTTTTTTATTTTTTTTATGCCCAACTCACTTTGAATTATTTTGCTAATGTGGCTCTCTTTTAGTGAGTGACCAGGTAAAACTCTCTGTAAGCCTGTCAAACGGTCCCTGGCAGCAGAACAAAAGACCAACCATTGGCRTCTGCTATAAAAAGCAGGGGCACATAATTAAAGGTTAATTAAAATTTAAACACAGGCTTATTGCCTCTTCATTCAACATGTGAACACAGTTGACGAGTGCGGAATGAATATAATTATATCTCCAGGGCAAAACCTTCTTACATTTTGCAGTGACACTGGGGTTTGTAAGTTTCAGTGCAAAACTGTTAAAAAGAAAGTGTGAAAGTACTAACGTTCAACCCTGCAGCTGAAGATGAATAAAAAAAAAAGAAAACATTAAGATGCACTTCAGCTTTTCATTAGTGTGTATTCATCACTCTGACAGCACCTCCAAACATTTTATGAGCAATGATTTCAATTCCTTTTGCTTTCTGGTGTTCTTCCAGCCATTACTATGCAACAGTGAAGAGACTGCTGTATCACAATGATGTATACACCTCTAAAAGCACTTGTTTGCTACTGTTGAACCTTTGTGAATGATAATGCTCAGTACCAACTGCTGGATTTTACAGTACAAATAGATTTGTGTTACTSTATAAGATGCGGTTGTGTAGAGAAAAAAATAATTTGAGATAAAAATCCAATCTTTAAAACAATCCGCACAACAAACACCAGGACTAGAGCACAAGACTATCTCAAAACAACAGAATCCATTAGGTAAGTGAGCCAAAACTTTACTTTTATAACCCGCTTACCTGTACGGATACTTGGCAGGTAAAAAGGTTCAATGTGTGATGGACTATATTAATTACTTTAATAACTTTAATTAAGTTGTTGAACATTAGAGGATGCGTGGGTCACAATACCAGAGCTAGAAAAGGTTTCAGCCATTTTTCCTCCCAGTTCTTCTAGTCTGGCCAACTGATGCAGTTCTGCTGGTGACAGCTTGCTGGCCAAAATCACCACCATCTGATCCCTTTTCACACACTCACTCACCTAAAATGAAACACACACACACAAAACAAAACAAAAAGTTAAGAAGAGTTTCTATGAATTTAATGTGCCAATATCTGCGCTTTAGGGTTGCCAATTTTAAGGCAAGAAAAAGATTATTCACCACTCAATAAAGACGTACCGCAGAGAGATTGGCTGAGGGGCTGTGAGATGTAGGAGAATTAGCATATTGGGTTCCTTCASCGGCTTCCTGGAAAATCTCCAACATCTCCTGGCTCACCCCGTAATCTGCAGGACGCTTCCCATGCAGATTACTGTGAAGAGAAAAATTCCACAGATAAAAAGTGTGCCAGTTTTCTAAAAAAAATTTAAAACAAAATGCCATATTCCCGTTTGAGACTCTACGTAAGGCAACAACAAATACAATTATTCAAAAGTATATAGACAAAGATACATAAAATGTGAGTAAATGATATAAGACAGATAACAATAACAGTTTTCAAATTCCTAAATCTAAAGAAATCAGTTTCATTAAAACATATATGTTTTGATATATTGTTTTAGAAAACAAAGTAACCTTTCTTGAAAGGTATGTTGTACAGAAAATATCTTCTATAGGAATTTTCTATCCTTTAAGTCATCAGAGAAAGCATCAATTACGATAAACTAATTTGGCAAGTCAGTATCTGTATCACCACTTCCCAGACACTGGCAGAACTAACAAATATTAACCACATTTTGAAATCTATATTTGTCCTCAGATTATGGGCCTTCGGAAAAAAAAATCCACTAAAAAGTTAATTATTCTCTCCAAACATTTAAATCACATTCCTTGCAAATCTGGGTTTCTTTTATCTCCAGCCAAGCAGGGCTCTAAAATTCAATATTTGCAATTTTTTGAGCTTAGAGGAAAACAATTTGGCAATGTCACACCCTGCTTGTTCTATGAAACTGTGCATCCGTGTGTGGTGTTCGCTTGTTAAAGCGTAATCGTTTGATATAAGGGTGAGCTGAAATCTGCACCGCACTTTTATTCAGGGACAAATATTCAAGTCATAGCATTAAAAATGACTAAGTACTTCACAAGACCACATTATATTACAGTGAAGAATCTCAATGCATGTGTTTATGTACTGAAAAGACCTTGTTGCTTCAAGTGACTTGGTACATATTTAAAAGGCACGGTAACCTTTAGAATACTGAAATGGAGTCTTATCTTTAAAGTACTAGTATGCACAAGATAAAAAATGTACATCTCCTGGTTACAGAAAATGACACCAAACAAAAAACGTCAGAGAAACCCGCGAACGACAAGACTGAGGTCACCTTGAAGGAAAGGGAAGAAAACTGTGATGAAGAGGAGCACAGGAAGAAGAGAGGATACGAAGAGAAAAACCAAACCCAGCAGGTCGTCTCTAAAAGATTAGGCGTCAGCAAAGATAACACCTGGGGAACAATTAATAGGTCCACTGGTCCATAAAATATTTCATTTGGATTCATACCTCCAGCCCAATACACACAAATACAAACAAACAGAGAATGTCCTTGATGCTTAAACACATGCACACACACACATTGGTTTGTACATGTGAGAAGAATATGTAAAATTTCAGAAGTTATGCAGAAGGTAAAGCAACAAAAAAAAAAAAAAAAAAAAAAAAAAAAAAAAAAAAAAAACATAGGCCCCTGCTTGACTAACCAAACAGGAGGAAAATTGTGTAAGTCTTAAATACTCCAAACTGTGACTATGACTGTTTTATACACGCAAAGCAGGCATTTAGCTTGAGGGGTGTCGGGCATCTTTTTGGCACCCTGATTCGATTTGCGACGCCCTGTGGCTGCGTCATGACACTCTCATCCGCTTTACAACACCTTGTGGACGCACCTATATAAATACGTGAAGCTGCGCACGTGCATTGATTTTGCCTGATGCCAGAGTATGACACGATGAAGTTTACATTATTTTTGGTCCAATTTTAAACCACTTGTTTGATCTTTAGAAGACGTGGCTACAACTCCGATGGATAGGGGTAATGTAGAATTTCTTAAATAATTATTTTAGCTAAATTTATTTGTTTGTACTGATAATAAAATCAAAGCCCTTGTAGGTCACTTCTGCCTTTAAATTACAAAGAAGTCAAAAGTGAAATGAACTAATATTTCAACTAATTTAAACTTGATCCT